TATTTAGAGGGAGGAAATGCCCTTGGGCTTTTGTCTAAAAATTTCTGTTCACACTAACTTTGCTTTTTTTTTTTTTTTTTTTAACTTTCAAAAACCATTTAATGCATCCTAACTGAGAGACAGAGAGACTCTGAACGAATGGCTTTCTGGTCTGGTAGCCCAGGAAAGGGTTAACTCTGATGATCTCTGCAGTGGAGAAGAGCCTGTGTTGCTCTTCTGACAAAAGAGAGGCCCATTTCTTCCTGTCCACCTTCACCCGCACTTGTTTTGGAGCGAGCTTATTATATCCAGTCTGCAATCACAATGCTTTCCGAACCACTTGTAACAAAAGTGCTACTACTCACATGTTCCTGCTCTGTGGGAAGCAGAGTGCTAAGTTCTCCAAACATCTTTCTTATGGCTCACAATTTTACCACCCTGGTTTTCCAGATGAGAAAACTGAGTGTAGGTTAAGTAACTGGTTTATACTCACAGAGTTGCTCAGCCAGGGAGCCGGATGGAAGTCGAGCAGAACCTGGATTGGTCCCCTTGCTGGAACCAGGACCACCGCTCTCTGCTGCCAATTACCTTCTTCCACCGTTTCTAATCGTATCACTCCTTTGCCTAGTCTGTGGTGCTCTCCCCTCACCCTAAGGTACAGGCTTCCTGGAGAATACGAGCCGACCTTCTCAGAATATCATTTCCCATCGAGTTTTCTATTCATTCGTCTGTGTAGTCATTATAAATCAACAAATAAGAGCAAGCCCTGACATTGGCTTGGAAGCACTTTTACATACCATCTCCCAAAACCCCTGAGCAGCGGCAGGTGAGCAAACAGGGTTAAGCAGGGACCAAGGTTTGTCAAGAGGTTTGACATTCCTCCCTCGTTCTTGAGAGCTCCGTGCTTCCTTCCTCCTAGGATGCTGCCAGGTTCCTTCATTCCTCTCCGCCTCGCCGTGCTGTCGCTCCTCCCAGGGACACCCCTCACCCTGACTGGGGAACACATCCAAACCCTTCTGGGTTCCTTTCTTTCTTTCTTTCTTTTTTTAAGATTTTATTCCTTGGGAGGCCTGGGTGGCTCAGTGGGTTAAAGCCTCTGCCTTCAGCTTACGTCATGATCCCAGGGTCCTAGGATCGAGCCCCGCATTGGGCTCTCTGCTCGGCAGGGAGCCTGCTTCCCCCTCTCTCTCTGCCTACTTGTGATCTCTGTCTGTCAAATAAGTAAATAAAATCTTAAAAAAATAAAAGATTTTATTCCTTTATTTGAAAGAGAGAGAGAGCATGAGCAGGGGCAGAGGGAGAAGCAAACTCCCTACTGAGCAGGGAGCCCGATGGGGGACTCGATCCTAGGACCCCGGGATCATGACCTGAGCCGTAGGCAGACACTTAACCGACTGAGCCACCCAGGCATCCAAACCCTTCATGGTTTCTGTTACTCAAATGACCCACCTTTCCTGGGCCTCTCTTAACGACCTGAAAATACCCACCGCTGGAGAACTGACTACATTGTTAGATGGATTTGCTGGCCAGATGGTCTTTCTCGGCAGACTAGGACCTCCTCTAGAGCAGAGATTATGTGTTGTGAGCGTGACCTTAGTTAGGAAGCCAGGATGGACTAGTGATGGATGACGGGACTGCTGAAGAAAGATGGGATTCAGTGCAAAGCTGTGTTTCTGTGCTTCCAGAATTCATGCAACACTGAACCAGCCTTCACCAAGAAGGACTACAGTATGAGTAAAGGCAAAGAGAAATGGTGAGCAGGGCAGAAACGGTAGCGTGTGACCGGGGGGTGGGGTGGGGGACCTGGGTGGCTCAGTAGGGTAAGTGTCAGACTCTTGGTTCAGGCTCCGGGCGTGATCTCATGGGTCATGGGATGGAGCCCCGTGTCCAGCTCTGTGCCAGTTGGGGAGTTTACTGGAAGGTTCTCTCCCTCTGCCCCTCACCCCACTCTCAAATAAATAAATATTTATTTATTCTCTCTCACACTCTCACTCTCTCAAATAAATAAATAAATAAATCTTTTTCAAAAAGGAAATGTGTGTCTGTGTGTGTGCGCGCACGTGTGTGTGTGTGTAGAGACAGAGAAGAGGAATAGATTTATACTGTGTGTGTATATGTGTATATGTGTGTGTAATATATATATGTGTATGTGTCTTTGTGTGGATGTATATAGTGTGTGTGTAAATGCACGCCTGTGGACATATAATAGTGTGCAGATTTGTGTGTGGCCACATAATGTGTATTCACACGGCGTGTGTTTGGACGTATACATCATGCCCTGCGTGTGTGCCAGAATGCCATGCAAGCAGCGATCTCAGGATTTGCTGCTACAAAGGTCACTCCCCCCCCCACACACAGCTAGACACTTTGTAACAAGAGAAACACCCTGCGGCTGGGCTCCCTGCTGGGCAAAATGGGGGGGGGGCGCCCTGGGAAAGAAACTGGAGACTTAGGAAGGAAAGCAGTTTGGAGAAAACGCACTAAGAGCAAGCAAGAGTGAAGAGACTGGTTAGCAAAAACGATTACCCTTTAAAAAGAAAAAAAGCAGGGCGGATGGAAGTCACTGGAATTGATCATTGGGAGGAGAGCAGTGAACCAGGAGCGGACGCTTCAGGAAGAGGCAGGGGTAGGATGTCTCGGGGTGAGGAGGGAGAATCCGACAAACACAGACTTCTCTCTTTCCAACACCTTAGCCTTGAAAGGAGGACAAGGGAGCAGCATTCCAGGTCAGGCAGGATCAAAAAATCAAAACCGGGGCTGTATTTGGTCCCCGGGGAGGTGGGAGAGCTCAAGAGTGTAGACAGGAGGCCCAGGTCCCCCGGGACATCCTGAAGCCCAAAGTACCCGCCACAGCCAACTGTGGTCACGCAGACTCTCCCACAGGGACTCCGGGACCTGGGATCTGGGATGATCCACATTCATCGATGAGGACGCCAAGGCAGAGAGACTAAGTCACTTTTCCAGAGTCACTCAGCTAGGTAAGGCCCAGAGTCAAGCTTCCCCCAGGGCAGTCTGGCTGTATGTCCCCGCCAGTGTGCAGCGAGGGAGATGGAAAACAGAGATCTTGACCTGGGTCGTGTTTTCCCGGGGCCTGCCTGCTTACTCTGCCTTTGAATCCAGGGAAATTCACATCCAGGTAATGACAGGTGGGGTTGGGGGGTAGACTCGGTGCCTGAGGGCAGCAGCAGTGGCTGGGGAGGAGGAGCGGACAGAAGTCATTGGCTGGTGGCTTGGGGGGTTTATATCTCTCCAGCAATTGTGGAGAGTTTCAAAAGCATTCGAAGAACTGAGTTCGAGAACTGGCTCCTCCGTCTAATATTCTAATAATGGAGAGCAAGTCACCTCACCTGTATGGGTACCAATTCTCCCTCTGTAACACAGGATGGTCATCGTAATGGTAATAATAGCAACCATCCAACCTCCCTTTGAGCCTAAGGAGCAAGAGGAACAATATGTAAAAGCATCAGCGTGCATGCAAAAGTGAAGTATTTCACTCTCATTATTTCGAGCTCTTCTGAAAAACTTCTCATCCTCTCCACTCCCCTACCTGGCTGCCAAGGTATTAAAAAGTAATAAAACATCAACCGAGAGAAAGGGTTTCTGGGCCCAAACAATTTCCATGGGTACAATTGGCCCAAAACGCAAAATTCCCTTACACAGTGAGGCCACGGGAGACATTTTACAACATCTCTGAGAGCGAGCTGTGACAAACGGTCATTGTCGCAGATCTGTTGGCAGCCCAGAGCTGCTGAAGACAAGTAACACTTGCACCCCATACTTCACACCTGTCCATCCCCGCCCATCACTTCTCCTGCCCTTCCTCTGCGCGGTATGTCGCCCATCCTACTCTGAGGCAGCAAGTTCCTCTTGCCTCTGATGGCCTATTTGCACATTCACAGGTCAGTATAATCCGTAAGACCCGGCGTGGAGCCTCTGCCCACCGAGGAGGCAGCAGCCTTTGTGAATAAACCCAAGGAGCGTATATATTGGGAGGGAACCTGAGACCATCAGCAGAGGAGCTGGGCATTGTGGCTGCAACTTGCCAGAGATTGGGAGAGCTGGACCCCCTTCCTGGGAGTCTCACCGGGCAGGAACCCAGGTCCTTAGGCAAATGCTTCACCTTTAAACAGGATAGTTCGGTTCGCATATAATGAGCCTAGAACTACATGCAAAGTTGCCCTTCTTCATACTTGTCTGCCTAAATTGTCTTGATGTTTTATTTTACCCTGTATAACTCTGTTCCAAAGATAAAGTGAAAACAAATAGGCAGCAGCCGCTTGGGATGGGGTACGTGACAGGTGACAGGTGTGTGGTCGGTCATAGGGACATTGAGGGCGGCAAGTAATCTGGGAGAACATCTGGAACACAGTCTCCTTTTACAAATGAGGAACCAGGGACCTGGGGCCAAATGTCACTTTTTCTCCATTTAAGAAAGGGGTATGCATTTGCATGTATGTCTTTGCTTAAGAAAAGTGAAAACCCCAAAATCCCCACTTGCAGAGCTGTGTGCATGATGGTCACTTATGCTAGCTAGATGGATACATAAGAAACGAGAGCTGACTCAGAATCTCTTTCTGTATCTATCAACCCTTCTCATGCACACCCTTGACTCGCTGGTTTTGCAAAGCAAGGCACTCCACTAATTCTAGTCCTCCCCCAACACCACTGCCCTCCAATTAATCAAATGGTGGAGCAGGGTTAATCTCCCTAAAACTTTAGAGGGTAATTCTCTGAGTTGCTTGTTATGCAGAAATCAGCTGAAAACCATCAGAACAATAGAGATTCTCCCTCTGTGCAATTGCTAGACCCAAAGAGACAGACTAACTGACCCCTTCTGCCGCCTCTGCCTTGTCTCTCCTACAAATGCCCCATGAAACACCCCACCACCAGACTCCTCTCCTTCTGTGGCTGATGGAAGTCACCTGCCGCCCCAGCTCCCTCTTCCTGTTTTAGTACTGATCAGTCTAAATGCCCAGGAAACAGCAGGCAGAACTTGTTTGGTTTACATTCTGTTCTTTCTTTCTTTCTTTTTTAAGTACAAATAACATTTCTTTCAATACAAATATATTGTTACATGAAAAAATAGAAAAAGCACAACAATTGTGATCACTGTCCAGCAGGAACATGTTTGTTGCTAACAGAGTCAGAGATCCTATGCTCCGTAAGAAGACGTTATTTTAGCCCATTTCTATGACACTTTGAAACACAGGACCTTCCTTGTCCTACAATCAAATCCTTTTTGAGATGATTTAAATATGCCAGTGATGAGCGTCTAACATATCCGGGAACCAAGGCTATTGAAGGCTATTGAACCAAGGCTAGAATTTGACTCCAAGACTCCAAGAATACAATTGCCAGTATACAGAAACCATATAAATTACTTAATCAGACTAAAAATACATCAGATTTTAAATCTCCAGCAGGTAATAAATTACTTACAAAACCAAAACAAGACACAACAGCTCAGGTGTGTTTCTCCTGATTCAAGTGTGAAGTGCCCTGCGGCAGTCCTGGGTCGGAGTGGGGGGAGGCACCCCCTGCGCCACCCCACCGCAGCCTGGGAGGGAGGCTGTGAGTCACTTGGCATGAGCTGACCGCAGAGTCCCCAGGATTTTGTCCCAGTGCGTGAAGTAAGGGGCAAAGTTGCAGTTGAACTGCGAGTGGTGCAGGTCGTGGTGCGCCACGCCGCCATACCATCCGAAAGGCACGAGTCTGTGCGTGGACCAGGGGAAGTCGTAGCCGGAGTGGTCCTCCACCGACAGCCAGATGTTGAGCACGTGGAACACCAGGACGGTGAGCGGGTGGCACTGGAGCAGCGTGACGTTCACCATGTCGAAAAAGCCCAAGGAGAAGAGCTCCCAGGCGCTCATGTACTGCGTGGCCAGCGCGAACGAGGCTGCGTTCTGGTGGTGCATCTTGTGGAAGGTGCGGTAGAGCCATGGCACCTTGTGGTGCAGCACGTGCCACGCGAAGAACTCGGCATCGAAGAGCAGCAGGCAGCCCACGACGTGGCGCGCCAGCTGCAGCAGCTCAGGGGCTTCGCGGGGCCAGGGCGCTGGGCCGCGGGTCCAGTGCAGCAGCGTCAAGGGGAGCACAAACACCACGTGCTGGTAGAGGGTCTGCCCCAGGCAGGGCAGCAGCTGCCGCGCCGTCGGCGAGAAGTCCGGGTGTATCTTGTAGCGCCGCAGCGCGGGCACCCAGGGGCACAGGACGTCCAGCACCACGAAGGGCAGGCAGAAGCCCACGTACGTGGTGATGGAAAAGAAGACCGCGAACAAGGGCGACTGCGTGAGCGCCTCCCGGGCCCGCAGTCGGTCCCAGAGCGGCTGCAGGAGCAGCTGGCCGGAACTGCAGAGGATGGGGAGCTCGGACGCGTTGTGGCTGCTCATGCTGAGGCTGTGCCGGGGCGGCTTGGGTCCCTCCGACTTTTCTCCACGCTGCGGCCCCGCCCCGAGTGATGTCAGCAGCCCTCTCGCTCCCCTTTCCCGGCCGGGCCCATCTTGCAAAAATAAACAACCCCACGGAGTCGCGCTCAGTTGCCAAAATGCGTATCTATAGCTGCGCTGTAGCGGCTTTTTCTGGGCGCAACAGGTTGTTTATTAGCTTTTTCTATGCGAGCAGATGTATGTGCGATTTTTTTTTTCAACTGACGTGCCGGGTACACTCGATACAATACGCAGATCTTCAGTGTAGTTTCTACCAATTTTGACAACTTAGTTCCTCTGTCATCATCACCCCCAGACAAGGTAGAGAATATTCCCGCCACCGCGCTGAAGAGCTGCTTGGCAATCAGGGCGCAGTCGCTTGTATTTTTAAGTGCGTACGGAGAATTGCGTCCATGTGCTTTCCTAAAGAAGCAACCATCACTGCATTTTTAAAAACTTTTTAAAGCGACGTACCTTCCTGTATTTCGGATCCTTTCTGTCGGCACACCTCCTCTCGATCTAACGCGCTGCGGACCGCATACGGACCCTTCCGCAGGGGGCCGACAGGGGGAACCTCGGGGCGCCCGGGCGCGCGCGGTGGCGACCGGCGGACCCACCCGCACGGTTCCAGCGTCTCCGCGCGCAGCTCTCCCCGCCCGCTCGCCGCCGGCTCCGGATCCCACCGAGCGCGGACTCTCCCCGGGGGCGGCCGCTCGTTTCTTTGTCCGCTGCGCCCGTGGGGCCCAGAGCAGCGATCCCGATGAGGAGGCACGGCGACAGAGCTGGGACCGCGGCTGGGAGGCTTCAATTTAAAAAAAAAAAAAAAAAAGTTCTGGGTTTTACCATCTAGAGCTTGCCCAGATCTGGCTACAAAGCCGCGGCGTCCTCATTCGGAATGGAGGCGACGAAAGCAGTAAACCATCCGCTTTGTTCCTCGGCGGCGCCCCGGTGCGCGCCGGCAGCCTGGCCGGACGCTGGGCCAAGAGCCGAGGAGGGCGCGCCTGCGCTGCGCTGCGCTGCGCTCCTCTCCGCCGGCTTCGCTGGGCCTGGCTGCAGCTGGTCTCAACCTGCGAACCCCCGACAGCCCCTAGCGCCCGCAGTGGCACTGCGCGGCCGACCCCACCTCGGCGGCTCTCCGGGGGCACCCGGCCGGAGAAGGTCGGTACTGCTTGAGCTCTGGGGCCACCCGGGACCGCGTAGAAAACCATCTCTACCTTTGATCCGGGTGGCTGATACGCGACACAAGAGTCCCCTAGAGGATAAAAGTTGGGGACTAGCACTTGGAAGGCGGGACCACGCAGAACTAATTCTAGCTTTGCGTCGTGTGTCCATGAGGTTGGGGTTCACTCACTCCCCGAGGCTTTGCATGTTGTCGCCCAACTGCCACCCCTCCCCACCCCTTACCCCGCCAAAGGAAAATAAGAGTAGCCACCGCGGGAGGTTATTTCAAGCATTAAAATGGGAACATAACAACAAAGTCTGCCAGGCATGAGCTAAGCGTTTCACTTGAAGTGATTTCCTCCTGGGCTGGGAACCCCAAGCTGTTAGTCCTGTGGCCTCACAGAAACAGAAGCCCGGTGCTCGGCACACCACCAACTTGCAAAGGAAGACGCATATTATTTTAACTTTGTGCTCCACATTTTACCTAAAGAACCGAGGAAGTTTACAACTAAAATCCAGTGAAATCGTGTAAAGAGAAATAAAAGATGGAACACCACATACTAGGAGGAAAGAAGAAATATGACAGAAATAGAGACCAGCATATGGACCTAGAAATATAACAATATATAGGATATGCACGTATATGCACGTATGATATATCAGAAGCCAGTTCATAACACGTAATGATACAGTAATATCTAATAACGAATGGGATGTTATACCCACACCCTATAACAAGGCAGTTCATAATTCAGAATCCCCAGGGGACCGTTTGTCCCTGACCCACCGCTAATAGGATACACGTGCTCTCTACATGCCCATCCTCTGGGGCCTTCGGCCTCTAGCTCTCCTGGAGTTTGTTTTCTTTAACCTGTCAGTGTGCTAAGGATATTATGATATTCTGCTTGTGTATTGATGAGACAGAGGTGCAGAAACAGCTGAGTTTCTTGACAGGTAATGCAGACAGGGAAAGAGTGGATTTTCTAGTTGCTTGGACATCTAGATGGTAATGGAGCTGGGTACGATGCAGGCCCCTAGCCTCCCTTGCGGTGAGTTTCTAGCACACACACACCCTGTGGGTTCTAGGCTCTTCTTCAGCCTTGCCCTCCCCCAAGACTCTTCCCAATTCACCTTTAGGTCAACCCAGGAACCTAGGAGGCCCTTTCCCATTCCTTGTACACAAGGCTTGCCCTTGAACTTTGCCTGGCTTCGAGAGAAGAGGAAGGGCTTGGTCTCCTTTGCTCTTGGACCCCTCAGTGCTCCAAAGGGACCATCAGAGCTCACGTTCTCAGACTTACAAATGAACTCTGCTCAGAGGTAAAGTTATCACTCAGATTTGCCCTCAAAAGAAATTAAGTCAGCCTTCAAATTTCCATTCAGCACACGCTGTCCTCTCCTTGTGGTCTCGGCTACATGCTTGGGTGATTGGGATGCTCGTGTGGATTTCTGAAGTGGGTGGCACGGGCAGACTTGCTGCACTTTGACTTGGCTCTGAGGTTGCTGTCAGGACCGCCCCCTTCAAGCCCCCAGCCCCAACCAACCCATTCTTTGCCTTCTTTAGTTCTTGCATCCTCAATCACGAAGCCTGTTAAAGTCCTCTCCGTGGGCCGGTGGTACAAAGCCCAGTGCAGCCAGATCCAGAAGCCTCTGCTGTCCCCTGCTCGGCCCAGGCCCTCTCCTCCTGCTCACAGCACTCTGCAGAACAGCTACTGGCCTCCCTGCCTTGCCTGACCATCAGCTGCCCCGGGGGACAGAAGTCTGTGTCCCATATACGAAGGCAACCATCTCGGGGAAAGTAGTTAAAATCTTGTTGTCCGCTCCATGTCACAGGGAAGAAGCCGAAAAAGGAAGCACAATGTCATGTGGAACAAAGACAGCATCACTTGGTGGACCTGAATGAGACTGAACCCTGTTTAGTCTTGAGTAAAGTGGTATCATTTCCTGAACTGGCAAAGGTGCACCTTTAAGCACTTCACGTACACAACATACGTTTAACAGCTTGCAAGACGAAGAGTTCTTTTTAGGGCACAGGTACTATCTTTTAGGATTTTTTCCCCACAGTGCCAACCATCATACCTTGCACGTAGTGAGTGTTCAAAAGATATCTGTGGTGGCACCTGGGTGGCGCAGTGTGTTAAGCGTCTGCCTTTGGCTCAGGTCATGATCCCAGGGGTCCTGGGATTGAGCCCCGCATAGGACTCCCTGCTCGGTGGGAAGCCTACTTCTCCCTCTCCCACTCCTCCTGCTTGTGCTCCCTCTCTGTGTGTCCCTCTGTCAAATAAGTAAATAAAATCTAAAAAAAAAAAAAAGAGGGGGCGTCAAAGGTATCTGTGGACACGATGCTTGTTTCTGAAGATACTAGCTCTAAACCGGAGCTAACAAAGTAGAATTTTTCCCCCCCCTAGAGCCCTGGCTGGTTTAACTACTTATCCCCGGGGATGGTTTTCCACAGACGGGGGTATTTTCCTGAGCTCTGGTGGTGCTAGAACTATTTCTTGTGCTTCTCCAGTTGACTTTGACTTCCTCTGTATCCTTTTTACCTGGCGTGCTTCCTGACAGGGCTGGAGGACAGGATTCTTGTCTTCTCCAGCTACCCCAGAGTTGAGACCGTTTTCATGAGCGCAGCCATCGAGTCCGCATTTTTAACACCATCTTGCAGTGACTCGGGACTCCGCACCGAAGACTCTGGATACTACCCCCGCACCCACCAACTGAGCATGTACTTGCATTACCAGGGACATCCTCTCTTTCCCGATGTGAACTTGATGGTTTTTTTCTTTCCCAAATTAGGCAAAATGTTCTTGGATCTATCTAACCGAAACAGATACTGCCAGATATCAGACATGAGAAGTGTTATGATGCCTTACAGCTGGTAACACGTAAGACTGATAGAGGATAGAGTAATTCCAAAGATTAAAACCTAATCCCTTGAGCTCCTGGGTGGTTCAGTAGGTTGGGCGTCTGCCTTCTGCTCAGGTCATGACCCCAGAGTCCTGGGATCGGCTTCCTGCTCAGTGGGGAGTCTGCTCCTCTCTCTCTCTCTCTCTGCCTGCTGCTCCCCCTGCTTGTACTCTCTCTCTGTCAGATAAATAAATAAAATGTCTAAAAATATTTAATCCCTTTTTGTAAAAATGAAGGCTTCTTGTCAGAAAAGTTAGGACTAACTAGGGTTGAATAGAAAGTTACAGCCAAGGTGAAAGCGGAAGCTTTTGTCAGTTTCAAGGAAGACGCCTGCAGAGGACTTGGGTGCTGGCGCGAGGGACTGAAGTTTCACTTAGAGGGAAGTTTCCAAAAAAGTCAGAAGACACGACTTATCCACACCAAAACAGAAGATGCTGATGAAGAACGTGGGAGATGTCAGCTCCCCCAGGAGACTCCTTGACGCTCTCTTTCATTAAAGCAGGTAAAAATCATCTCCACTAAAAGGCACCCAAGTGCCTGTAAAGAGAAAATACTGCACCTCACCGAAGGAGTTGCTGCAAGACACAGGCCTTGTAAGAAGGTTTTAAAAGTCAGAAGGCGGGGCGCCTGGGTGGCTCAGTGGGTTAAAGCCTCTGCCTTCGGCTCGGGTCATGATTCCAGGGTCCTGGGATCGAGCCCCGCATCGGGCTCTCTGCTCAGCAGGGGCCCTGCTTTCCCCCATTCTCTCTCTGCCTCCCTCTCTGCCTGCTTGTGATCTCTCTCTGTCAAATAAATAAAATCTTTAAAAAAAAATAAATAAAAAAAAAAAGTCAGAAGGCACAGTGTAAAATGCACAGCATATTTTAGTACCACTAAAACAAGTGGGCAGAAAGTTTTACTTGCTTAGTTTGGAATTGAACTTAAAATCTCTACCTAGCACTATGTGATATAAATACTCTTGAATGAATTACTGACAAGCTGTTTAAAAATCAGAGGGGCACCTGGGTGGCTAAGTCGTTAAGTGTCTGCCTTCAGCTCTCTTCGGCTCTCTTCGTGATCCCAGGACTGAGCCCCGCATTGGGGGTGAAGGTCCCTGCTCAGCCGGAAGCCCGCTTCTCCCTCTCCCACTCTCCCTGCTTCTACTCCCTTTCTCCCTGTCTCTCTGTCAAATGGATAATTAAAATCTGGAAAAAGACACAAAAGCCCTGTGTTGGGCTCCCTGATCAGTGGGGAGGTCTGTATCTCCCTTTCCTTCTGTCCCGTCCCCAGCTGTGCTTGCCCTTGTTCTCTCTCAAATAAACAAATAAAATCTTTAAATAATAAATTAATAAAAATAAGTAAAAATCAGAATTATTGTCATCTAATGCTGCCTTTCAGGGGGGCACATTTTGAAAATATCTTCCTATATTAAAAACTAAATGACAAAAGTTAAAACTACAGTATATCGGGGCGCCTGAGTGGCTCAGTGCGTTAAGCCATTTCCTTCGGCTCGGGTCATGGTCTCAGGGTCCTGGGATGGATTGAGCCCCAGATCAGGCTCTCTACTCAGCAGGGACCCGGCTTTCCCCCATCTCTTTC